CCCTCGAGGGCTCCGTCAAGGTCGACGTGCACTACTACGAAGACGGCAACGTCCGGCTGCTCACGAGCCGGCCCAGCCAGGCGTCCGTCTCGTCGGGCACGGGCGCGGGCATCGTCAAGGAGATTGCGGCGTCGGAGAAGAAGTACCAGGAGGAGCTCAACAGGGGGTTCACGAGCTTGAGCGAGGGTGCGTTCAAGGGTCTGCGACGACAGCTGCCTGTGACGAGGCAGAAGATCGAGTGGGACAAGATTACCTCGTACAGGTTGGGCCAGGATATTGGCGGTGGCCGGAAATAGAGAGGGATGACGTAGGGGAGAAGGACAGAGAAAGACAGAGTCTTTGATTGTTAAGGGCTACATATAGAGTTCCGCTCGACTGGTGCATTCAGCATGCCAAAGCTAGGAATGGTTTAAAAAGCTTTCTTTAACAAAACATCACTTTGCTGTCAGGAGCATTTCCAGTGCAAGTACCTTGGTAAGGACATGTGCTCCATTCCCACGTGTGATCCTGGGAAGAATGTAGACCAAAATAGAGCGCGAAAGTCACCTCTTACTTTAAACAGAGAGACTCACGTGAATCTAGTGGGTACTACGTAGAGATTGTAGCTGAGCTACCTCTTCCAGACCCCTTTCAGATTGTCCATTAGAGTAATCGTCTAGGAACTATAGAGATCCTGTTCAGTCAATCAAACCGGGGGAAATTGCCGAATCGGGTAACATATCGCGATGACATCTTCACGGCCACGGGAAAAAAAGACAGCTATCGCAGCCGATTATCTAAAAAAAAGTAAAGAGCTGAGGCCTGGATCTCAATCTTGTTACCCCGCGCGTTCCCCGCCTTTTGGGCTCATACCAAGTCACAGGTGGGAGCCTGGGAGGGACAGTCGAGGGAAATGACGATACCGGAAACCGGAGACCGGAGACCGCACGGGACTGCCTCGGCATCATCCCGAATTTCCCGAACGTGTGGTTGCGGGATTGGGGGGGGGGGGGGGAGTATCCGTACGGCGGAATTGGACACTCGATAGGTTCCCTGCTTCAGGAAGGCGTGTCGTTCGGGGAAGTATGGAAAACTGATACTAACCTTTCTCTCTCATGTATTCCGTGAGTTCATGACAGCTAAGGTAATGTTCCGTTGGAGGATCTGGACTGTCCGTATGCTCCGTGTGATCCGGACTCTTTCAATGGCTAGTGATCAGTCCGTCCGATGTGTGTGTGTGTGCGTGTGTGAGCGGCCCTTTATTTGCGATGTCACAGATGCGAGGTACAGATATGCAGTGTAGTGGCGTATCCCGTACGTGTGTGCCCCAGCTGGTCTTGTCCAGACTCCAAGCCTGGGAGCCAGGCCTAATCCACCTAGTCCAGCCCAGGAAACCCCGCGGAACGACGAGATAAGGCAAGATCCTACGGAACGATAGCGTCAGGGTTGAGACGATTGACGACGAGGCGAGGGAACGGCGCATATGGCAAGGGTGGGGGACGGTATGTATCCCCGTGGAAGCGGGATTTGGGAACAATGACCTTGCAGCGGTACGTGTGGGCATTTGCGGGACTTGGTGTTGCAGTCGGGCTGCTGGTGAACCACGAGAAGGCCTGGCAAGCAGCAGCGATTGGCAATGCGAGTTTACGAACACGAATAACTGGGGACTTGACCCCGGAGACGAGAGGCCGTGCCGGGCCCTTGTGTAAGAGTATCCGTACAGACACTCGGTGTGCTTGGGGGGACGTCGCAGTCGGTTTCCTCCAAGATTCTTGTAATACAAACTGTACCGAATACTGCGTGGTAGGGCAGTTTTGAATAATCGAACCGCTTCGGTAGCGGACACCGATGTGATTCCGCCCCGTTGGAGGATTGGAGGGGCCATGCGTTTCGAAACGAGCTAGCAACGTGCTCTCTCTCTCTCTTTCTCAGAATGTTGATCAACCGCGGAAGCTGGGGGCGGTAAAGAGGTGGAAGACTAGGTACGAAGTAACCCCGGTACTAAGCGGCGACTGTTTAAGTTTTGCAACGGGAGCCCTGACTCGACGTTTTCGCTTTGGGAGTATCAACGGGCGGGGTGAAGCGAAGGAAGACGTGGCTGGTCCAGGAAGGGCAGTTTTACCTAGGTCCTAGGTCCTAGGTTCCGGTTGCTGGCTATGGCAAATGAACACGGGTGTTGTAGGTGAGTATACGAATGCCTTGGTCTGAAATCTAACCTAAGGGATTGGGGTATGTGACCAAGGTGTGCTACTGCGTATGCATTAAACGGTGGCAGTCTTGGACGGGTGTCAAATGTCTGTTCTGGCTGGGGTTCAACTACCCGAGTGCGATGCCGAGAAGGAGGCCGGCGAGCTTCTCCTCTCTGGTCTAAGCAAGAAGGCAATGGAACTTGTGGAAGTAGTTGGGTCCTTTCCATTGTCACATACCTACCGGTAATACCTTACCTTGTCTAGTGTTCTGACTCTCCAAGGTACCTAGTTCCGCCAGCTAAATTGGCTCCCCCCTTTGAAATCGCACCTTCTTCCTTGTGCTGCCGCCTGCCTTTACTGTGGTACCTCTCTCGAGTACTCTCCAGCCCACATTTAGTCCAGCGAATCACGGCAACTGTGCACTAATTTCTTCTTTTCCCATTGGCTTAAGGAACTGTCCACCCCTGAGCGGACCGCTGGTACCCTCTTTCCCCCCAAGTCCAGTGCTATTGTGAGGTGTCCACAGGTAGTGGCCGCTTGGTCCCAGCAGAAGCTTCCATCAGCTGTCAGTCCCAGTCCGCAAAGTGCTGCGCTTTCCCCCCCGATTTTTAACGGGGTCCCGCGATAAAGCAGTGTGAACGGGCTCAACAACATCCGAGGGACCTCCTTCTCGTCCGATTCCTTTTTCCTCACTTCCTCCTGCACCAAAAAACTCCCCTTCCTCTCACCTTATCCCATCCCCAAAGCCATACTTTTCGCCAGCGATTCTTCCGTGTTGCGCAAACCGACTCGAAATTCTTCACACCGAATCCTAGCCAAATCAGCAAGGACCCTCAACAAACTTCCCACCCCTCCGATAAACAAGGAAGGAAGGAAAAAAAATAGGAGCCACGTTTACCAACAACAATCCTTTGCGGTCTCTCTACACACAAATCAGTCACAATGGGCGCTGTCGAACTCACCTACCAGGATGTTGCTGAGCACAACACCAAGAAGGACATCTACATGGTGATCCACGACAAGATTTACGACTGCACCAAGTTCGTCGACGAGCACCCGTAAGTAAATAGCCAGACCTGCTACTGCCCGCCCGCCACTCTTGCGCCAGCATCCCCCTCTTGAGGATTTCAATCTCCCTCAAATGAGAACTTCCGACTAACCTATTTCTTCTGAATAGCGGTGGCGAGGAGGTTCTTCTTGACGTCGGTGGTCAGGATGCCACCGAGGCTTTCGAGGATGTCGGACACAGCGACGAGGCCCGCGAGACCCTGGACCAATTGTACCTCGGTGACTTGAAGCGCCAGGTGAGTAAAAAACAACGATTTCTATCTTGCCGCGATCGCGCGCGCATCGTCCAATCTACAGAAAGCAATCGTGCTGACCTTGCCCCTTTTCACAGCCCGGAGACCCTGCCCCCAAGAAGCAGGTCGCCGCCAGCAGCTCAGCTTCCAGCACCGAGAGCCCTGGCTTCGGCATCGGCCTGTACGCCGTCCTCCTCGTCGGCGGCGTCCTCGCGTACGTCGCCTACAACTACCAGCAGCAGCAACAGCAGCAGTCCGCATAAGACGCAAGTTGTATTGCTACGGTCTTGGACTTTTTTTCACAGCAAGGCGGAAAATGCTGAGAGGGTTAAGGGGCCCCCCCTCCACGATCGCCGCCGCCTCTCTCCGAAAAAGGAGGGACGAGGATGCGCGCGCCGCCGCCACGGCGATGAAGGCGGGAGCTCCAATCATTGTCTTCAACAGGCGGAAACTTGGGTTTGAAGAGCGAGAGAAAGGGGGGCGCAAAGGTCCTTTTGGAAGCCTTTGCGTCACCTTGAGGTCCCATGGATGTGTTACGAGCTGGCGCAGACGGGTTATCGGGGAGCTTTTATTCAGCGGCAGAGGATCTGGCTGGTCGAGCAACGACCGAGCCGAACCTGCCGGGAGAAGATATGCTTTTAATAGAATATACGTTCTGGTCATGACTATTTGTTGGAGATTTTGTACTGGATATACGGGTTTGTGGGCGTCGTTACTCTAGGTACATGGTAACGTAACCGTTTAAACCATTGCGCTCTATGGTGATTGAACAGCCCGTTTGGCAGTGAGATCAACACACGGAGCTTCGGATACGGCAATTGAGACTGCCGTCACAGTAACTTCACAAACGAAAATTGAAGGGTGAGCTGCTACAGTTTCACGAGTTGCCGCATGCTTGCGTTCACGAATTGCCTTGAGGAACCGACCTCCGCTTCTCCCAGGAAAGCTACCACTCTTGCGTCAACCTCTTGTTTCCATGAGTCAGCGTGGCCCGTGCAAATCATGACCCGCATTCAGGTCCCTCGCCCATGTTGTCAATCTCGGAGACTCAACGTGCTGGAACCCATCAGCTCGGAATTTTTGTGCTCGAGAAGCGGAATCGGGGCGTCTCCGTATTCCGAACCAACCGGATTGCACCGTGGCTGAGTTACCTCACTCTCCAGTCCCCACCCATTCACCAGCCACGTCCGTGCGCCACATTATCGAACGTCTCGTCCCAGAGAATTGAATTAATCAGCAACAGGCAGACAGCCAGGCACCTTGAAGTTCATTACTTTCCATTGTATCGACGAAGCAGCTTTTTTGCTTCTCTCCCATTGCGGCTGCCAACCTCGCGACGCGGACGAAGATTTGCGGGATAAAATCGAACCGCAACAAAATTTTCGGATATTTACAGGCTTCCGGGCTGATTAGCGATCGAGTCGAGGGGATACGGTCGGCGACTTTTGGAGGCTGAAGCTGGGATAGCTCGACGATTGAAAGAGAGAGGACAACAACGGTGCGAGGCGCGATCAACGATCGATCTGGATTGAAGCGAAGTGGTTGGATACGACCGAGACGAAGGAAGGAGGGGATATTGAGAAGGTCTCTTCAGGCAGTATCTCCTTGCGGGAAGGCGGCCGTCGACGTGGGAGCCTTTGAGCTGAGATACGCCAAATCCTCACTATATCGACCACCTCCCGGCCAGTCACGTCGTAAACCAGCCCACGACTACAGCTCCTTGCGCCAGGCTTTGGGTAGTACCTCTTCCTGACGCCACTACCAACGTCCCGCAAGGAAAGCCACGAGCTTCGGAAAGACCATCTGCTACGGCATCGAATACCCCCCACTATTGCCCATCATGTCTTCTCTTCTCGAAAAGCAGAAGGCAATGTTCAGCAGCTCGCTGGCCTCGGCCGCGAGCAAGCTGCAATCCAAGAGCACGTCTCTCGCGCCGCCATCACCCTCCCCGTCCGTCAGCAGCATGGCGTCAGCATCCAAGAACGACACCACGGCATCGGGCAAGCGAAAGCGCGACCCCAACGCAATTGTGTACTCGCAACCTCAGAACACTAGTTTTGGTCAAGAGGTCTTTACGCAGATGCAGTATGCGCTGGAGTGGCTCAAGGGCAAGGACGAGCCCAAGACGGCGACCGAGATCTTTGACCACCTGGGCCAGACCCGCAGCACCGACAAGCACAAGCAGCAGCTGGTGGAGGGCATGCGGCGGCACCCGCGCATCCAGTGGGTGCCCGATCCGAAAATGTCGGAGCAGACGTGGCGGACGGGCACGTACGTCCACAGGCCCATCATCCCCGGCGTCAGGGACAAGATGACGCTCCTGCGGCACCTACAGAGCAAGCGGGACGCCGAGGGTACCAACGTAAAGGACCTCAAGGACGGGTGGCCCGACTGCGACCAGGCGCTGATGGAGCTGGAACGCGAGCACAAGATCCTGATTGTCAAGACCAAGAAGGAGCAGCACCCGCGCGCCATCTGGCTCGACGACGCGACGCTGCACCACCACGTCGACGACGAGTTCAAGCGCATGTGGAATGTTGTCGAGGTCCCTTCCACCGACGACATTGTCAAGAAGCTTGTTTCCGTGGGCCAGAAGCCGGCCAGCGCCGACCCCAGCACAATCAAAAAGGTCGACTCCAAGAAGCAGCAGAAGAAGCGGGCTGTTAGGCGCACCGGCAAGACGACCAACACGCACATGGAGCATCTGCTCAAGGATTACAGCCACATGGTGAAGCGGTAGATATGGGCTGTCCAGTGTTTATATACAGGGAAATGCATTTTCGAAATGGCGTTTTGGGTTTGGACGGCGGAGAGAGACGACGAACGGACGGACATACTTCATTTGGCAAAGACCTGGGACCGGTATTGCTGTCCTTTTTTCGTGTCTAGTTCTTTTTCCCTTATAGACGGATGGGCAGGTTCACAGTGGGTCTTTGTGCCGTAGTTGATGCAAAGAACAAGCATTTCACTTATGCGGGAGGCAGAGAACTAAGAAGGTTACACCCCAAAACGAAGGACAGAAGAATGATAAATATCCAACATTACTGCATCCTTTAACGCTGTGCTATGGGAAATGATGTTATTGCCACCGCAATGCCATATCGCTGAAACTCAATGAGAGAATAGAACAAGAAGCCAAACGAACAGATAGGACATACCACCGACCCCCCTCCCCTCCCTTTCTCTCATCATCCATATTCCTCTCATCGTCGCTTACAAGGAACCCCATAGAGAGGGAAAACGGAAGAGACCACAACAACAACAACAAGCCACCCACCAAGAAACTCAACACCCCTCCGTAACCCGCTCAAAAACCCTCAAAAACACATCCGGCTCCTGATTCCCGCCGACCCTCCACCGCCCTTGCACCGTAAACGTCGGCACGCCCGTGACCCCGGCCTTCCTCGCGCCCACGACCTCCTCGTCGACAACCTCGCCCGCGCGATCGCTATCGAGCGCGGCCTCGACGTCGGACTCGTCCAGCCCCGCGGCCTCGGCGGCCGTCTTGACGAGGTAGGCGCGGTCCGAGATGTCTGCGCCGAGTTCAAAGTGGCCCCGGAAGAGCGCTTCCAGGAGGGCGTCTTGGGCTGCGGGGCCGCGGGTGACGAGGGCGAGGCGGAGGAGCTTGTGGGATTGGCGCGAGTTGCCGGTGCGGCCTGTGACGTTTAGGGCGATGCCGGTTTGGGCGCAGGCGGTGGTTATGCGGGATAGTACTGCGGGCAGGTCGCCTGCTAGGGAGAAGCGGGTTGTGTACATTTCGCGTTTGTCGTAGCCTTTTTTTTTTTTTTTGAGGTTATGTTAGTAGGGAAAACTGCTTGTTTTTGTCTTATTTTCATGTGTGTGGTGTTGGAGTTGTGAAATAAGTTGGCGGTTGAGATGTAAAAGGATGAGAAAGGGGGGAAGTGAGGTTATCGTGAGTTTTTTTGGTGTAAGTGAGAGCGAGGGAACATGAGAGAGAGTTTTTCCCCTGCGACAAACGATATGAAGCGGAAGACATGTTTTACATTTCAAGAGGGAGAAGAAGAAGTATGAAAAGACGAAAAAAAACAACGTACCGGTGCTCTTCAACGCCGGGCTCAGATAGAACGGCTTCCAGACGACCTCGAACTCGGCGGTAGGGTCCACGGCGCGGTATTGTGAGATTGCGCGGTCGAGGTTCCTCTTGCCGACGTAGCACCACGGACATAGCAGGTCCGTGACGGCCTCTATTTTGATGACCGTCATTTTTCTTTCTTGACCTCGACGGATGGAACCTCCGCGGTAGTTTGTCGTCGAATCTTGACTTATACTGACGAAGGGGGGGTTATGTTGTGACTGTGAAGGATGAGATGGATGGAAATGGCTCTCGGTGTAGTGTTCGTTGAGGATATGCCATACGATGACAGACCGCTAAAGGGGAACGAACAGTATAAGTTTTGAGGATTATGAGAATGAAATCACTTGGCTGCTTGAGTCTGATGAGTAAACGAGTGATGAGAAAAACACCAAGGCGCTCGTTATGCCTTCTCTCGTCGTCTCTCGGCCCCAGCCTAGGGCGTGTTTGGGGCGGTGTTGTGTAAGCCACAGAGTGGTTCGGTCCAGTTTGTCAACCCAAGATCGAAGGTTGGACTTGACAGTTCCTGGGTTCCAAAAAACTCTGTCGGGGAACGACCACCGGATGTGTGTGGATTTCTGGATCAAACTGAACTCGCTGCACCCTTCTGGAATTCTTCGGGAACGTCAAGGGCAGCAGAAAGTACAGTTAGTAGTAGGGGGAGAGAAGGGGGGAAGAGAAAGAGTAGAAGAAGGTGTGGGTATTAGAGTTTCCTTTCTACAACATGCGCCAATGTTGTCAGAAGTTGCGGCTGTCTTGTGGATATATAATAGGTAGTTTGCGCCGTAGACTCCCCGTCATCTCATGGCTTTGCACCAACAGTCTAATCCCACATTATTGGCATATGGTGGTCGCGCGAGTGTGCATGTGTTTGCGTATGGGTGGTGGTGGTGGTGGTGGTGGTGGGCGCATGGGTTGGGTGGGAAAAAATCTTGGAAACGAGGCAGGAGAACAAAGTACCCTGCCAAGCCTGCCTTCCTACCTACCTAAGATTGGAGACACAAGGCCCAAGGAACGAACATGTTTGACATGAATACTAATCAACGGGCTTATAGCTTGCTCAGCGCGGCTGGGTGATTGATAAACCAACAAATGTCGCTCCCAAGGATACGCGAGAGAGAGCGAGGACGGACCACTTTTTCCCTTCCTTGTGTTCTCCATCTTCTCGAATGTGTCAACCTTCGGACCAACAATAAGAGAAGACTGGGAACAATAATACATAATCCTTTCCTTCGTCCTCCCTCTCCCGAGACACACACACGACCTCGTACAGTTGTCTTTCTCCTTTTCTCGACTACTAATCCAAAGAACAATGACCAATTTCTCCGAGGGTGCTTTCTCTCCACCTGACCAGTCCCGCAACCCATCTGAGGTACTCGAACACAGTCCGTCACGCCATCGTCAACATAGCTTCATAACGTTATGACCCAGGCAAAGAATCATCAAAGACCCGGGTTATCTCGCCCCAGACTTTTCGGAATTCAGTACTGTCAATGTCAGATCCCACCGGATCCCGCCGGCTTCCCCTCACATTTTGACTTGAACCATGGACGCAAGGCCATTCGAGAATCGAGATTCGCCAAAGAAATTGGCCCAGAGAACAGGCACAAGTTCACTAATCATTTCCCACACGGGCTTACCATAGAAACTCGGAAAGGCGCAAAATTTGATTTGAATACGGAACTCGGGGCAACAAACGCCATGTGCCTCGCCCCCGCCCCCTTCTGGGGTTTTTGGATTTTCTGATTATATCATCATTCCTGATTAAATCGAAACGTGAACAGAAAAAAAAGTGCGAGCAAGTCCGAATAAGAAGGCTGCGGACAAGAAAATCGCCTCGGATTCGTTTCGTAAACCTCGGCGCTTCGGTTCTGGTTCTGGTTTACAGATACCGCCAACAATTTTCTTTGACCATCATTGTTATTGTCACATAACCCAGACCGGGACTTTTACTTACTCTTTGCCGAATTTTTTTCTTCCCCCTCAACTATTTCGCTCCCATCCCGTCTCCATCTTGCGCAGAGGCATCTTTTAATTAGATGGCACCGACGATAGCCACTTTCGGGTAGGTACTTTGATAGGGTAGTAGACCTCGATTCCTAGGCCTATCGCAACGAAACTCGTTTGGAAGCCCTTCTCATATGACACTGAATAAGATCTTCGTCCCACAATTCACCCACTGCCTACCGGATAGCACCCTCCCAAGTGAACAATATGCCGCTCAGGACCCTACCTAAACTCCATCCTCACTATTCCTGATATTACTACTATCATATTTTCTACACGTTCCAGGACGAACACGCCTTAAATAGCATAGTAACATCATTACAGTAATGGCATAGTGTTACAAGAAAGGGTGCCTTTGACCGGCATACTATTTTGTCCCCCACTCACCTCCTCCAGACAGCTTCATTTAATACAGGTTTACCGTCTCAAGAAGAAAGGATGCGTGCTGAGTTAGAGACAACAAGTGATGAAAGAGACAGTGAGAGTGAGTGAGAGTGTATGTGTGTGTGCGTGTGTGTGCGAGCACAACAAAAAAGTATACACAAGGAACATCTACCAATCGTTTCACAACACCTGCCCGATTTTTCAGAAAACGTGACAACAAACGCGCAACACACGTCCTGTTCGCCTTGTGATACCTATTTTACGAAGTATGCGACAGTTTTTCGCCGGCTGGGAATCAATCAACCAACTGCCAAGTGCAGCGTGCAGCGTGCGTAGGTAAGGCAGTGGGACACACACGCCAACCCCGGATCACCCTCCCGACGGGATCTAGATTAATTCCCACCTCCACTGATGATGCACAGGCAAGCCGCACGCGGCAAGCAGATATGCACGCACACACTGACCATTATGAGATCGGTCCTCAAGCTCTCCCGGTCACCTTACGGCTCTAGCTCCGTCATCTTTTCTCATTCTTCAACCCAGGAGAAACATGCATGCACCAGTGACAAGTCTAACGATTGAGGAGAGAAACAGATTGCTACGCGCATTCATTGTCTAGTACAGAGTACAGTGTTGCATACAAAACATTGCATATCAGAAAAAAAAAAAAAGAGGCACGTTCCTTTATCGAGCGAGTCTCCGCCAATTCCGTCGGCGTGCTGCTCAAGAGCACGCCGTGTCCTGTCTGGGAACTCCTCCCAACCTTTTTGCCTCTAGCCAATGCCCATGGAGACCCAGCCATCATGAAGTGTGTGCTTCCCGCCAGTCTATGATAACAAAAGAAAAGGCGGTTGTAAAACGAACCGGATGACTGCCCACCCCTTGGTATCTTCCTGACCTTGTCCCGGTGTAGCCCGCAATATTAAAGTTGTATGTTATTTACCGTCCCCACCCTTGCCATGCACAAACTTTTCGTACCGCAAAAAGAAGATGAATCCACACGAAGGAAATCTTTTCAGCCATCTGCATTCCAGATCATCCCGGAGGATTTTAGGAGTGACTGCTGGCGATATTGTTACATGTACCGTTCCTAATGGGCACCTGCCCACAGCTCGCCTTGACGACCCTTAATATCGTAGGCGCCAGCGGGAGGCTCGGTGCTCTGAGGGCGGCGAACCTGAGCTGGGTTGCCGTAGAACATCTGGCCACCGAGCGAAGGCGCAGAGGGGTAGGCGTCGGGGTCGGGGTAAGTATAGCCACCACCGTTGCTGCTGTGCGAGGGCGATGGCACGTGCGACGGAGACTGCCATCCGACGGAGCCCATGTGAGGGCTACCGCCAGCACTGCCGGGGCCGGAATGCTGCTCGACGCTGGGCTCGAGCGTCGGAGGTGGTCCGTAGCTGGTGGGGTGCGAGGTAGGTCGCATACCAGTATTGTAGCCCCCAGAAGATGTCGATGCCGGGCTGCCAACGTGCATGTCTCGCTGCAGGTGAACCGGAAGTGAGCTGTTGCCCATGTACTGGAACTCGGAGTTGGCACGGTGCATGCTGTCGGCACTGGGAGACATCGAGAGGGTGCGCTGGCCAGGCGAAGGCGTGGTGAGAGGCGATCCACGGTTGGACATGGCATCTCCATCAGAACGAGTCGTGTTCGGCTTGCCAGTGGCTCCACGAGCAGCCAGAGCAGCAGCGGTGGCCGCAGCGGCCTCCTCTACTGTACCGGTGTGGTGGTTTTGATGCCTGGTCAGGGTAGTACGGCGAGTGAACGTCTTCTGACAATCGGCATACGGGCACTTGTACGGACGCTTGCCGGAGTGGATACGACGGTGGCGTGCCAGGGAACTGCTGTCGCTGAAAGGCTAATTCATTTGTTAGCACAAGAAAGGATTTCTAGCGGGAGATTCAGCTTGCCTTGCCACATCGCTCACACATGTGAGGCTTCTCTCCGGTGTGGACTCGCTGATGGACAGTGAGAGCAGATCGTTGGATGAACTGCTTTCCGCAGTTGGGGAAATCGCAAACATGAGGACGGATTCCGCTGTGGATACGTTCTGGAAGAAAAGGTCAGAGATGAAATTTTCTAGATCTTCATACACCACATACCGTGACGGGCAAGATCACTTCGGCGAGCAAAGCCCTTGCCGCATGTGCTGCACGGGTAAGCCTTGGTGGGCTGCTGAGGTGCCTGCTGCTCGGGTGCCTTGTATTGAGGCATGCCCTGAGACATATCATGCTGAGGGATTCCGGGCAGGATTACAGGGCCTGGTCCCATGTGGGAGACAGGCATCTGCATCTGCATCGGAGCGCCGACCATGGCGCTGGGTGAAGGGTAGGAACGCGGGACGCCTTCCATTGTGTGACGAGAGTGTTGAGAGTATTCGGAGCCGTGGGGAGAGCCGGCACGGTCCATAGGTGGTTCGGGCATGTTTCTTGCGGTGAGTTGGGGGAGTTGATGCATTTGACGTTCGGGAGTAGTTCCGTTGTGAATGTGTTGCATAGCGGCACCTCTTTGATTCATCAAGTTGCCAATACCCATTACCTCGCCTGGAATAGGCGACCTCATATTACGGCGAAGAAAATCGCTAGCAATAGTCGGAATCCCTGCGTGGATAGCCAGCTTGGAATGTTTTCGGACGATTCTCCGCGTCAGACGAAGGTGACTTTGAGTTTATAAAGACTGCACTGTCTAGAGGAGAGAAGGTTGTTAGCGTGGTGATCTTCCGAGGGGCGAAGGCTCTGAATAAGGGAGGTGCGTGAGGGCGAGGGTTTTGGGGGGGAGCACATCGCCACGAGTGGGAGCGTTTGAGCAGCCTCCGCAGGTAGGGTTGTGTAGAGTTGTCAAGGGCGGGGGGAACCTGGGTTGGGCTGTGGCATGACTAGATGTGCCAGGAGCACCTGGCGGCGGGCTATTTGAATCAGACTGACGGGGTTCGCTCGCAGGCTTACCTTGTGCGGATGGTGGATGGAATCCGGGACAGACCGATCACAGATCACAGACCAGTATGTTGCTCGTTCTCGAAGTCAGGCTATCCACTAGACTTGAGCTTCGCCTCGACCGTACTGAAGAATTGACGATGTGATGATGAATCGGTTCTCTGACCGGGACGCTCGTTTGATCGGTTGTGTTTTTGGTGATCCGAGATATATAGCGATCTCCAGCGTCGTCACAACTCAGTATCGTGACGTGGCGCAATCGAAAAATCTGTTTGTCGAAGGCACAGCCCACCACATATACGCCGGGAAGTCGCGGGGTCAAGACGTGTGCTGATCACTCGTCGTATTTGAGGAAAGAATGAGAATTCTTTTCTGTCGGATATGCGCGATTGAGCCGATGTGTGACGGAAAAGGAGAATGAGAGGGATAGTCAAGGTATAGAGGGCGGCTCAGTCAATATGACCTAGATGACGCGCCACTGGTTAGTGATCTCGTCGGCATCTAACAGTAGACAATCGAGAGAAAAGGTTGATGTGGCATGCACAGCAGAGCATGTGCGAAAGCCAAAGGATGAGTGAAGAGGAAGGGGAAAAAAAGAAGGGTGCCTCCGGACCGAGGGCTCGACCAGTTGTGTCGAGAGAGATGGGTGGGTGTTTGTCAAAGTTCGCGTGTAGGAGGTCTGGGACGAGAGATGAGGTAACAGGGGCCAAGAAACCTTGATCGGGGGTGCAGACGGTCCGGCAGGGTTAGGGAAGGAAAAGTGGATCTATGAGGAAAAGCGCGGGAAAAATTGCTGAAGCAGCAGCACCTGGCAGGAGAAGCCAGGGCAGCCACAGCCAGGAGGCGCGGCAGGTGAAGGTGCAGGGTACGTATCGTTTGTGCAGCAACCGGCCAACAAGCCCGCGGGCACAGCCACAAGAATGGAAGACGCGGTGACAAAAGGTTTCGGTTGCTGCTGTTTGACTAACGAGCAGAAGCAAGGTGAAGCCGAAAGTAAAATAACATGTGGTGATGTTGCAGGAAAGGAAAGCCTCGGCCTGGGACTCGGATTTGGCCTTGAAGCGCAATGACGAGGAGTAGACGGCAAGGGATGGCGTATGCGAATGCAAAAGGAGGATAGGGATAGTAAAGAATTGAAGCTTCGACTTACTGCAGAGAGTGAGAGCAATGGGTATCTCGAGGTTGGGTATCGGTAGGCGTAAGGAAGTTTCTTTTCTGGGGTTTGGAGATGGGAACGTTGCCCGTCGCAAGGAAATGGAGGAATGGGACAAAAATGAAGAAGGAAAAAGAAAGCACGGTTGACTTGAGTTTTGTCGGTGCTGCAGAGGCAGAGGAAGGGTATGAATATGTATGGAGAAGAGAGTCAAGGTGAGAGGAGGGAACAAGGTGGTGGTGTAAGGTCGGCCCTTGGCTTTTTGGCGTTGGGGTTGCGAGTTGGCGCGTTGGCGTTGGCGTTGGCGTTGGCGCGCAAAGGGTCGAGTGAGCGTCGAGGGTCGAGGGTTGTGTGTGCGTTGTATGGGAAAGAGCAAGGGGGAAAGGTGAAGGGAAAAGAAGCTGTGACGCAGCAAGCGGAGCGCAGACAGGGACGGACGGACGGGGTTCGGCAGGTGTTATAAAAATGTCAACCACGGAGACGATCCTTTTAGTGAGACCGGGGGGAGATGGAAGAAAGGAAGGAATAATGGAAGGAAGGGGGGGAGGGGTGTGCGACGTAGGGGCACGGCACGCACACGCAGTACGGATACAGCTTGCTGTTGCTGGGTCTGTCCGTATTGCTGCTCCTGCTCCTACTCCTGTTCCTGCACCTGAGGGACTGGTGTGGTTTGCGTAGTAAAACGGATCGGTGAGAAAAAAAAAGAATGGGGTCGATACGTCGAGTCGTCGAGTCGTGTCGGTACACAAAGTACCCGTACGGTAAGGTATGTATGACTGGTTTGGCTTTTGGGTTGTTGTACCTAGCTTGCTGTATGGGTGGGATGGATGGATGGATGGATGGATAGAGGGTTGGTGTCGGAATCCTTATTAATCTTATGAATCGAAAAGTTGCTCGGATACGCATGTACGAAAAGAGGTAGACAGACCAGACTATGGATATGAGAAATTGGAAGGAAAATAAAATAAAAAAAGAGGAAAGAGGACAGCGTGTAATATGAATATCTTGCACGCAAATTTGGCGACAATGTACCTTTGCTGCTTGACCCATTGCTCACACCACACAACCACACGTATCAGCACCTACCTTACGCACAAGTCCCAAACCTCAGATACCTTCCGTCTCTATTCGTAAGGTACAGACAATATCCTCATACATCACACTCACACATGGACTTGCGCACACACGCAACACGCACGTATCGTCAGTCTTGGAACAAGAAGAGAGGGTACATGACATGTCGAGAACCAGAGAGCGCACCCTCCCCCCAAGTCAGGTCAAGTGAGATCCCAAGTGCGGAAGCTTGGTGAATTGAAACGAACGGTTTAGCTGGGACAACTGGGGGCCATGGACGCTGAAGCAGGAACGAACGGGGGTGCGAGGTAAGGTACGGCAGTACATGGGTACGAAGACACAAGGATACATCGCTACTCACTTCACACTCAGCACTTTTGCAAGGCACTTGGATACTTGGGCACTTGCCTTAGCGCATCATGCTAAGGTAAGGTACCGCTGAACCCACTCAGAGGTGGTAAGGTACTTTCCAGGTCGGGTCGGGCTGGTGTTGCCGCATGGAAAGAGCAACGACACATGAACCGATTATGGGTACATAGGTACGAGGGTGCGTGCGGCCTGCCCCCTTCCAGGTTTCCCTTGTTGTCTTGGAGCTCTCCACTCGCCCCTGCCCTGCTGTTGTACCTTCCTCGCCCTCTTCTCTCTCTCTTTCTGCTTCGCCCCATGTCCTGAGGTACTGCGTGGGATAGGTACCTTACTCCCTCTCTTTCTCATCCTCTCCCTCTCCAACCTTGGCTGGCACCTACTGTGACGATGTTCAAAATATCGAGGTACCTTACCTTGAAATGCGTCTGCCACCGACTGCTCTTGCCGTACCTTGCCGATGCACGGTGTACACAGTATAGACAGTGCGAGGCCGATCTTGTGTCTTCGGCAAGTGGAAGGGGGCTCCAGTGCTCAGCGTCCCTGCCTTTGCTCCACACTGCTGGGCCTGTTCAACCTGGAGTCGGCGGCGATCGTCTCTGTGCTGCCGGTTGGGCCACCGCCGACCTCCAGGGGTTGTGACCATCTTACGAGCTCTACCTATGCGTGAGGCAACCGTTTTTCCTGCGCCTTCCATTTCCCATGCATCTCTTATGGATACCTACCTTAGGGGATGAAAGAAGGTGACGGCGTCATTCTCTCCGGACGCAGCAGCTCGCCTGAGGTAATTGACTAGAACGGCAAGTGTCAGTAGCCAGAGGGACACGCTGCCTTGCACCTGCCTTTGATGCCTCCCAACAGGTGTACATCATGGGCCTTTTCCAATGTGAAGTAAGGCAGTCGTACGGGTATGAAGCAGCAACCTCATTCAACGTCCTGCTATGCTTTGCCCCATCCGACACGTCCCCTGTTCTGCTTCTTCTCAATTTGTCTTCTGCCAAAGCCCTGCGGCTGACTTTCGTACTGGGTTCATGCCATCGACAATTGCGGCTGGCAGCTTGCCAACGCCGACGGAGCACCACAAGGCCACTGCCCTCGAGTCTCAACACCATCAACGCAATCCGCAAATGGGCCCTCGACAATGCAGACAAACATCCCGCTCGTTGTCAGACCAATCTGCAAGCAATGCATCATCAATGGACGAAAGGGGGAATAGGGGACCATCTTTCATCACTCGAATCCGCTACCGCTGTCACCTCCCCTGCTCATCATCATCACCCTCAGCCCGCCGCCATGCAGACGCAAAGTAATACTATACGAATGCATCCAACTCTCAAACTTCTTCGACCCCCTTCTTTTCTTCCATCCTTCCATCCAGCTCAGGGGTACCTCGCCAAATCGACAGGCCTGGGTGTGTACCTTACCTTACCGACACCTCTCGGATGCACACAGTATGCCTCCGGCTGGCTGGCAGCTGCCCTCGCCTAACACAGACCCCAGCAATGCTATTTGGCTTTTCTCTTGTTTTGCCTCGTCATCATCAAACAATCGGGTTATTTCTGCCATCATCTCCACCCCGGTAGTGGGTCGCTCCTCTCCCACTCAGGAGCGAGAATGGCACATCCAATTTACCTTTCGCAACCCCACAGACAAAACCTACGATAGGGCGGACCAGGGGCTTGGGTGCTCGCATGTGTTTCCTATGCCTCGAGAGTCGAGAGTCAGGTCTTGCCTCCATCGATTCGCTTTTCCTCCGGTCCAGCACTCGACCAAGCTGCGTGGCAACCTGGAGTACTCTCTCTTGCCTTGCTTTCTGTCCAGTTCAATCAATCAAGCCGGGTCAATGATGAAAAGTAAAATGTCGTCCTCTTAGACAGACATTGACCTCTGCGTCTCTCTGGAGAAGTAGTATCAACCATTATTCATCCGGCATCGCACGCGAACATGCTGCCCGCCTATCGATGACTCCGTCCGCAAGCAAGCATCTACGGAGTGCTCCGTATGAGCCGCTA